TGAGACTTAAAGATATTTGCACAGAAGTGAATGCCATTGAGTTCAGTGGGATTGTTCCCAGGAAAGTGTGTGTAGGTTTGCAATCTCTGTGCTCGTTTTATCAGCTCAGTTGTGAGGCATGTGTCGCATTCTTCAAGTTTAAGACCTGAACCATATTTATTTTTCAGAATAATGACAGCAGTTCCACTGTGTAATGGATGCCAAGTTTCAGCCTAGGGCAAATGTTTATGACTAAGATACAGATTTAGAAAAATAAATGTATATGCCTGAAGTACAACTGTAATCTTGGTTTTTAACTTTTTTTCCCCCTAGCAAAGAATGAATGGTGCTGTTGCTGCTGACTCCCATTCTGTCAAAACTTGTGACCTGAATTCAGTGTCCCAGGGTTTTATATAGTTCTCTGGGACTATAAATATTTATAATACTAAGATTCTATAGTTTGCTTCTTGTGGTATGTTTTTTTCAGTGGGGAAATTGTAATAAACTACTAGATATTAATTTGTCGATGCATCTTGAATCTGCTTTGCCACAACCAATTGGACAGGTCTCTGTGTTAGGTCATGAACATTTAAATAGTGTACTACAAACCCTGAAACTAAAATTATGAATTTAAATGCATAAGGTACGATTGTTCTCGTTCATTCATTGCATGATTTAGAACATTTTGAAATAATAAATTTATTTCCATTTTCCCCCCAAAAAATGATTTTTATATTGGCCCATGTGAGAATTGCATTGTCAAGCCTTATGAGGCCCTTGAAAGTGTAGATTATAGCACTTCTGCTGCACTGCACACAGGTTACTGAATTGCCATCGGAGCAGGAAATAAGCAGTATCGCTGAACAATCACTGCCAATGGCACACTTTGTGCCCTACAATCATCTGCTATTTGTGTTTGTCTGAAATGGAGTGGCGAATATGTTCACATTCTTGTTCTGTAATGTGTGTTATCTGTGAGTCAGGAGTGTGAAAGTATAGCCACCCTTCTAGCTGCTTTGAGCCTCTTGCCACCCCTGCCCCTCAAGGTATGGTACAGAATAGCCATGTTTGACTCCCAGAAACATCCAATTGGGTTGCAGATCCCCCCCTAACCCTTTACATTTTTACACATTTGAGCTTATTTTGTACATTTTGGCACAGGGTTCAGCCTACAGTGGGTATGAAGCAGAGACCTGACCCACAAACTATATTGTGAACCTCTCAGAACAGAACAGAACGAGGCAGGTGTATATTTATAAAAGTTTGGGGTTGTTTTACTATATTTAAACTGCATTGCTCAAGAACAGATAAATGTTAGAGCTGTAGAAACAAGTCCTACTTTTTCCAGTTCACTGTCTAATTTAGGTTCCATTGTCTTCCTATTATCATAGCATCCACTTGTTCTGTGCCAACTCAATGTGAGACTGTATTACAATTTACCCTGTGGTTTGCGTGAAAGTTGGCATGGTTGAAATCAAAGTATTTACTAGTGACTACACAACGGTGGCACTGCGGGTTAAACCGCAGAAGCCTCTGTGCTGCAAAGTCAGAAGACCTGCAGTTGTAAGATTGAATCCACGGAACAGAGTGAGCCCCCGTCGCTTGTCCCAGCTCCCGCCAAACTAGCGGTTCAAAAGCATGCAAAATGCAAAAATGCGAGTAGATTAGGGACCACCTCGATGGGAAGGTAAATGGCGTTCCGTGTCTAGTCACGCGGGCCACGTGACCACGGAGGCTTGTCTGTGGACAAACACTAGCTCTATGGGATGGAAATGGAGATGAGCATCACTGCCTAGAGTCGGACACGACTGGACAAATTGTCAAGGGGAAACTTTTACACAACATAAAGTTAAGAATGTGTAAGCTTTGTGGATGGACATTTGTTTCTTTCTGTTCAGTCACCTGGGAGTGATTTTTTAAACTGATTCAACTGCCATCATTTTTCTCTCTTTTCTTGTTTATGTGATTACTTATTTTGGTCCAAAGAGGCAGCTGTGGGCATACAGTGATGTTAGTAGTGGAGTGTTACATTGCAGTAGGCTAATTCCTCTCAACTGATAGCCAGTTGCTTGCCCTCCTCCAAACAACTTTTGTATTTTTTTTAATTTTACATTTTTAAAAAATGAACCTTGTCGAATTTAGCATTGTATCAGATAAGTGCTAAATCACTTCTGAAAGATAAAATTTAAAAAGAGGGTGAAAGGAGGGATGCAGATAAGCTTGGGGTTATGTTCCCCATTGGAAGTTGAGCCAATTGAGAAGTGCAGTGGGGACTCTAGCAGTGGCATAGCTGGGTTTAAATAACTTCCAAGGAAGCTGGGTGTTCATCCCTGTAGAGTTTCATTCTCTGTTTCGGAGCTGAAAGTAGCATCTGATGTAGTTTGCTATTTATCCCTCTGCCATAGCTCGAGAAAGCTATAAATGCAGTGTCCAAAACTTCCAGATCAGATGCTGTGTAATTGATTCTTTTGCCTATTGAATGCACAAGAAGGGCATATCTGGCATCAGTGTGTAAATCCATGACGCTGTGCTGTACCTTTTTCTTGATCTGAGGGAAGATTATGAAGCCATCACAACAAACAGTTCACACAACAGAAGGCATATGTTTTGCATGAGCTGTTTCTTGTCTTCCTACACCTACATAATGAGCAGGAACCCTTTTTCTTCTTTGCATAATTTATTCTTTTCCTTTCTGGAGTTCATCATGTAATCTTTGAAATGGTACCATCTCTGCTCTCCTTTTCTTCTAATTCAGGCATTTGGCTCATCATGTAGAGCAGGGGTCGTCAACCCCCAGTCTGTGGCCCAGTTCTGGTCCATGGGCTTGCCGGAACTGGGCTGTGGATACGGATGTTTGTCCCCCGCATGCACAGTGGGTGTGTTCACACAGGGGGCGTTGCGCCCATGGTGGGCGTGTCACATGCTTCTGCCCCCCCATGCGCATGGAGCTCACTCCCCCCAACCGATCCGCGGCCCCAAAAAGGTTGGGGACCACTCAGTGGTGGGATTCAGCAGGCCAGCAAACGGTTCTGCAGAACCGATAGCACGTTAGGTACCGGTTCTGTAGAACCTGTGCGAACTGGCTGAATCCCACTGCTGGTTTTGGGGCAGGAGGAAGAGTTCTTTGTTATTCTAAATGAGGCTGGGAGGTTTGGGTGTGTGATCTCTTTGTGGTGTGACTTTTTTCTATTGCATACCTTGCGGGGATCAGTGAGACCGAGACCGGTTCATGCACTGAATATTCTCTGAGATTAAAAAAAAACTGTTTCTAGGCAGAGCAACAGTCTTATATGGTACCTTTAACTTGAAAAAAATCATAGTAAAACAAGGACGGTTGGGTGTTTGACTGAAGCTTCTCACCTCAGAACCTTTTCCCTCTGTGTCCTACCCTCACGCCTCGTCAAACATTCCCCCCCGCCTCGAGACCACAGGCTTTCCTCCAGTGACGTCAAGGACTCATCCTCCCCCCCCTTTCCCCCAGTGATGCCTCTGCTCTTTCCAGGGTTTTATCTCTCCCACCCATACCCCACCTCTGACAGCTCAGTGTGGCACGGGAAGGGAGGCAGCTAGTTGCACCCCCCTCCCCCCACTCGTCGCTGGTCACCTCACCCCTCCTCCATTCATCTCAGGCCAGCAAATGGCTCTACAAACCAATAGTGCATTTAGGAATCAGTTCCATAAACTGGTGAGAACTGGCTGAATTCCACCTCTGGGACCACTGGTGTAGAGGACTAATACAGTGGTGCCTCGACTTAACGACCATCCCAACTTACGACCATTTCGAGTTACGACCAGCTCCAGCTGCAGAATTTTGCTTTGACTTGCGACCAGTGCTTTGAGTTACAATCAGAAAAAATATGAGGAAAAATGTGGGGAATTCAGATTGCTAACCGTTGGTGGCAAAGAGGCTGCTTCTTTGTAGCTCTTTCGCCCCAGCGGTTAGAGAGTGCGATTTCAGAGGAGGCTTTGGACTGCCTGGTAATGTGCTGCTTTTACTTTTTAAAAAATGGTTGTTCTGGGTGGGTTTTGCAGTGTGGTTTTGGGCTGGGTGGTGGGGTTATGTTTCTATGCCGTGATGGGTCTTGCAGGGTTTGTTTGTTTGTTTGTTTGTGTTTTTTTCCCCATTTCTGATAGGTCTTGTTTGCTTTTTGGTGATTTTTTGCATTTCCAATGGGTCTTGCAGTCTCTGCTTTTTGGTTTTCTTTTCTTTTCTTTTTCTTTTTCTTTTTTCTTTTCTTTTCTTTTTTCCTTTTCTTTCTTTCTTTCTTTTTTTGAATTTCTGGTGGGTCTTGCAGGGTTTGTTTGCTTTTTGGTGATTTTATTTTGTATTTTCAATGGGTCTTGCAGTCTCTGTTTGCTTTTCGGTGTGTCCCCCCTTCAACTGGAACAGATGAATGACATTTCTGATGGGTCTTGCAGGGTTTGTTTGCTTTTCTGTTTTTTCCCCCCTTCTTTGGCCAGAATGGATTGATTGCGTTTCCGATGGGTTTGCAGTGTTTGGTGTGGTTTTTTTGTGTGTGATTTTTTTCTTTGTCCGGAACGGATTAATTGCATTTCAGTGCATTCCTATGGGAAATGGTGCTTCGAGTTATGACCATCTTCCAGAACCAATTAAGTTCGTAAGTCAAGGCACCCTGTATTGGGGAAACAGTAAACCCTGTCCCCAAACAGCACAGTGTACCTGAGTATTAGACCTTGACACAGTGAGTACAACTGTCCATTGAAGTCTAAAGAAGGCTGTATAAGCATGTTGGCTGATCAGTTACTAGGTTGGTGATTGGATTGGGTTCCTACTCAAGGGAGCTCGATAGACACATTCAGTCAAGCATGATATACTGTAGAGCCCTCCATGGGCCAACCTCAAAGTTTGAAAGGAATAACATGTTACCTGATGCTTAGGCATTATCTCTCACAACTTGTGATTTTATCTGGCATTTTTTCCAACCTCATAAATGGATGCTTCTAGAGTCACTGGTTGTTCTGTTAGCTTGTTAGTTCAGCAGTTTCTCTTTCTCTTTCAGGTATTAAAAATAAGTCTGCTTGGCCATCGAAAACGCATATTGGCATCTCTGGGAGATAGACTTCACGAAGATCCACCTCAGAAACCACCACGATCTATAACCCTCAGGGTAAGTTCCACTGCCTGTGTCCAGGTGCCTTGTTAAATATCAAATGTGTTGCATGGGACCTGTGAAATCTTCAGTCACAAAGAATGATAATTCCATAACATCCTATTCAAATACATCTATAGTTCTCTGTTCATTTTTATAAAACTGGTTAGCACTTTTCTACCCTGATATGCCTTTATTTGTTTGTTTGTTATTTTCCCTGAAAACTCACATTATAATCAGTAGCATCAACATAACATTGCCTTATTATTTAATGTACTTCATTTCAGAGTGCTACTAAATTAGGATGGTTATCTGGATTTTCACACACAGCAGAAAATGTATTAACCATATTGCATTAAACTTCCAAGAGTCTTCTGTTTTCCACATTCTTCTTGGCTGAGGAACCATGCATAAGGTTGTAATGTAGATTATTTATAGAATATATGCTTATGGAGATTTGGAGAAATGTAGCTTAATTGTCATTACTTTATCGTCTGAGATAGTGAAGTTAGAGGTCATTATGCTTTGAAAGCTGCTGCCTTTCTCTCACACATAAACACCTCTCATCCCTTCTTTTCAAAATATTTAAAAATTACATAGGTTTTTAAAATCTTATGGCTGGCATATCACACATACAACTCTCTGGGGAAAGAATCAGATTATCATGAAACACTGTTAGCAAAAGTGTCAGTGAGCTCACAGTATTTTGCCTTTGGAGAGCTGCTCAAATTCAGCTCAAATTTTAAGTGTTGTTTTCCAGTACTGTACTGTATAAAATGTGTAAAGAGTGATGAAATGGCCCCCTCGCTGGGCATTTTCAAAAACCAACTGAAGACGTGGTTATATAGACAGGCCTTCCCTCCGGACACTATGTAATTCTCTCTCTTTATCTGTATCTATTCTGTTTTGTGTTAAGTTGGAAATTGTTATTTTATATTAATTATTTTTATTACGTGTTTTGTGAGTCACCCAGAGTAGACTATGTCTATATGGGCGGCATATAAGCTCAGTAAAACAAACAAACAAACAAACAAACAAACAAACAAACAAACAAACAAACAAATATAAATGGATAATGTAAAGTTGTAACAGCTGCTCTTAAAAGACAAAATTCTGTAAACTGAGGAAGGAACTCCAGAAGTAATTGATAGAGACCTCAAAACAAAATATTGTACCGTGGACTGCTTCAAGGATATACCATTCCATTGCTAGCATTCACTGTCCCCTAAGCATGCATGAGCCTCGTGGCGTAGTGGTTAAAACGCTGTACTGCAGCTAAAACTGTGCTCACGACCTGGGGTTCAAATCCCAGGTAGCCGGCTCAAGGTTGACTCAGCCTTCCATCCTTCCGAGGTCGGTAAAATGAGTACCCAGCTTGCTGGGGGGGCAATGTGTAGCCTGTATAATGAAATTGTAAACCGCCCAGAGAGTGCTTGTAGCACTATGGGGCGGTATATAAGTCCAAAAATAAATAAATAAAATAAATGCATTTTTATCTCAACTGTGTTGATTTTACATTGCATATTCTGCAAAGGCCTGTGTGCTATAAAATAAACTGAGCTAGCAGAAGATAATTGATTGGTGCAGGAGCATCTGGCCCAAAAGACTTACATTCATTTAAAAGAAGTAGATGGTCTTGCACACATCTTTTTCCCTGTCTTGGGTAACAATCCTCTCCCTCCCTTATTCTACTTGCACAAAATTAGTGTCCATCAGTTTCTCCCTCATTCTGCTTCCTGTTAGCATTTCTTCATCTTCTCCATACAGTGGACATATTGCTTCCTTATTTTTCCCAGCCAGTAACACTGGAAAAATTGAAGGCAGCAGGAAAAGAGGATTGATTCAGTGAAGGAAGTGAGGGCCTTTAGTTTGTAAGATCTGAGCAGGATTGTTAATGAAAGGACCTTTTAGAGATAAGTGATTCATAGTGTTGTCATAACCTATAACTGACTTGATGGCACATAACAACAATAGCAGAGACAGAGAAGAATAAACTTGTTTTTCCTTTTATGCAGTGGCTTGCTTGGAGTGGCGCTATTACTGACGTAGTGCAAATGAAGTACTTTAGAATGTTCAAAGCATAATGCAAAGATGTTATTTGTTTGTTTGTTTGTTTTAAAATATTTGTAATCCTCCTTTCTCCTTGAAAGGGATCCAAGGTGGCTTACAACATTGAAAGACAATATTTAAAGCTGAAAACAATGAGTATACAATTATTCAATTCACTTTCAGGTAGAATCAGCTAAAATGATGCTGGTTCAAAGCAGAATCAAAAGATGTTGTCTGAGGTTTTACTTAAAAGGACTGGCAACTCCTAGGAGAAGCTGCATTGCCTGTATACTTGAATGCAATCCTGTGAATCCAAGGACCTCCATGATCATTGAAAGATCCAACTGGCCATCTCCAACCTAAAATTTCTCCACAGTCTCTGCCACTGCTCAGTGCTGCAGCTAGAATTAGCCTGTAGTAGAAACACACTATAGTATATCTTTGTTTATACATAAGAGTAATACTGGTCTTCAGCCATCAGACAGTCTTCACTAATGTAAGAAGGACAATTATATCACCTTTCCTGTGACAGCTCCAAAAGGCACACCTCTGACGATAAGCCAGGATATTCCCCTTTGTTCTCTAACACAAGAGAAGATCAGTTCCTAAGGTCTGTTCCTGATGTCAGTGTAATGTGTGGGAATCACTCAGTCTTCTAACCCTGTGCAACTGCTGCAATGTTTTATAGTATGCAATGATTTTATGTCTGCATTTGGGACACTTCTTTCTTTGCAGGGATTCAGGAGTGCATCTGATTTTTGCAGTTCTTATGCTTTTTGCTGGAGTGGAGAAAATAATTTATTTTGTGCTGAGTTTCCCCCCCTTCTGATTCTGTGCAGGAACCCAGTGGTAATCACACTCCTCCTCAGTTGTCTCCCTCACTCAGCCAAAGCACTTATACTACTGGTGGCTCATTGGACGTACCACACATTATCATGCAGGGTGATGCAAGGAGAAGAAGAAATGACAGCTATTTTGATGATATTCCCCGGTCAAAACTGGAAAGACAGATGGCACAGGTACTGTTGGGGAACCTGAACTTCTAACTAGGGTTGCAAAAGCCTATCTTTGAAAAAATAATGATAGAGCATTTTGGAGGTCACTCACTCATAAGGTTGCTGTAAGTTGAAAGTGATTTGATGGCATATAAAACCATAACATCCATGAAAAATATACTATTTAAAATGTTAGTTCCATACTGCTGTGTTTCTGAAATATATGCCAACTTCTTTGTGAGATTTGTTTGTATTTTTTATAATTTTTTATCCTGTTCTGCAAATTTTCTTTTTACCAACACCGTATAGAGCTAGTTTTGCAGTTGTTGATATATTAGCAATAGGACCTGAAATCATTTTAGAAGTTATTGGCTGTGCAGGTATCTACCTTATTTGTTAAGATGTTTTTTTAAAAAAATATGGTCTATTAGCAAAGACCTGCAAATGGTTCAGATGTGATGTTCAGACTGGACAAACCAATGTAATTTTAGTAAGCTCAGAAGAGCAGGTGAGCAGAACAGATACCATTGTGTCCATCATAAATCGGAGGTAAATGATATGTTGCAGCTAAAAATGTTGTGTGGTTTTGTCTAATGAAGAGGCTAGTATGCTTAAGAGGCATGGTTTCAGGTGACAGTACTGTCCTTCGATCATTTTTTCCTGCTTATTAAAGAATTAGTATCACTAATTCGTCATTTCTAAACATTCCCTCTATAATTGTACATGTCTATTATTTTGTTTTCTTCTGGATTCCAGAACACTCAGCCAGAACAAACAGAACACTCTGTTTTTCTTTTGACCGTGGAGATTTTTTTATCTCATAAAGTTTTACAGAAATACCTGGATAAAATTGGCTTACTACATAGCAGTTGGCTAAGATTCCTGTTCATATGGGAGGAGCTGAACAAACTACAGAAAGTAATTTCTGCAATTACATGCAGAATGTTACATTTTCTTAGAAGAGCTTCAAGAGTGTTATATATGGATATTTTGTGGTGAAGATTGTCAGGAGTCCTGGTATATTTAACCATTTATATCCTGATCATTCTAGTGCTGTTACATTTAACTACTGTATCTGCAAAACAAAATAGACCATGACTTTTGCTCCATTCATTCAACCACACATGAATAATCCACTGACTACCTTAAATCAAGCATATGTTTCATCAAAAGACAAGCTAGATTTCATTCCAAAGGTCTGTATAGTTGAACTTCTGTCAACAAAAATGCTGTGGGGTGATATGTGCTGTTCTTTGATTGTGCACAGAATGACTGAAGGCCAAGTCATAAACCATGCTTTAATGCGTCATGGTATACACCAGAAACCAAGCTATGTATTGCACCCAAAAACAGATGGGAGGCCAGTTGAGTTCATGGAGCATATTAGTGACATGAATGGCTCGCTTCACTGAGCAGGCATTCTGCCCTCAGAGAAGCATCCAAGTGTCTGCTTTAGCAACAAGTAGAGATTGACAGTGTTTTTATAAGATTTTCTTCTGCTGCATTCAGATTTGTTTTCTGTCATGTACTAAGAGAAACAATAGATAACAGATTGTTTCCACTTCAGTGCACCAAAAGTTTGATGTATCAATCACAGAATAATTGAGTTGGAATGGTCCTGTAAGTAAGGTCATTGAGTCCAACCCAAGCTCAGTGTAGGAATCCAAATTAAAGCAGATCTGACGATGGTTATCCAGTCCCAAGCTCAGTGTAGGAATCCAAATTCCTTAATCTCGAGGGGTATTAGTACTTCACAAGATTTGGAGACTATAGTTTTGTTAATGCCTCCTAAAATCACATTTGCCTTTTTTGCAGCCTTATCATAATCAGCTTTTGATCTACAATTCCAAGATCTTTCTCACTTGTAGTATTACTGAGCCAAGTATCCCCCATATTGTAAATATGCATTTGTGTTTTTTTCCTAGGTGTGGAACTTAGCATTTATCTGTTAAATTTCATTCTGTTGTTTTTAGCCCAGTGCTCAAACCTGTCTTTTTTTAAAAAATGTTAAATATCTTCTGTACTGAGAAGTGTGGCAACTGGTTCCCCCCGCCCCATGGCAAAGGGGGTGCTGCCACATCTAAGGCTTATGTTACTGCCAGCCAGCTCACTTCACCAGAGGCAGAGGATTAGGGTACCATCTGTATTCTTCTCGCTACTCCAGCCTCATCACACAGTGTATATGTTGAGGGGCTAGGACAGTGGAGGCAAACCTTTTTCGGCTTGAGTGCCCAAAATGAGGGGGTGGGGAAGATACCAGTGGCTGCCATGCCGCCTGGAAGACCAGAACCAGAACAGGAAGCGACAGTTTCAGGGGAATCATGGGGACAGACAGGAAGTTAAAGGGAGAATCATGGGGATGGACAGGAAGTTAAAGGGGGAATCATGGGGATGGACAGGAAGCTAGAAGGGGAATCATGGGGATGGATAGGAAGTTAAAGGACCCAGTACAGGAAGAGAAAGGGAATCCCAGCTGCAGCCACTTCAAAAGGTTTGTCTCCTGCCATAAGAAAGGGCTTCGCGTGCCATCTGTGGCACGCCTGCCATAGGTTCGCCATCACTGGGCTAGGAGAGAGAATATGGAAACAATAGTAAATAGGACATTTCTAATGTAGGGGCCAGGTATAATTTTTTGTTGCTTGGCTGAGTTGTAGAGTAAATAAACAGCTCTGTGTGTGAAGCAGTGCCTGAGCTGCCTGCTTGAAGGAAAATAAAAAGTAAGCTTGAGAAGGACTCACAGTTTCTTTGCAAGGTGGGAAGTGGTCAGGGAGTAAAAGTGTTCACCACACAGCATCTATTTGGTATATTAGAACTCAAATTGAAGCATAAATCCTCCCTAAAAACATCCCCCTCCAATTATTCAAACTCCTGATTTAACAATGGGAAGAACCTCAGGCATTTGCCCCCGAAACCTCCCCCACATAACTCCTCTTCAATTAGATGGGAATTAATTTGAAAGTGGTTTGCAGTAGTGTTGAGGATGGTCTGCATGTACCAGCTCATCTGAACCCTAAGGCAAACTTGTTCAAATGGAGAAAATTTTCATTTTGCTGAAATGTGAAGATGAAATTGGATTCAGGCAAAAACAGTCGTCATTCTGGTCTGTTTTTTTTAAAATCATATTAGATAATTCTGGTGGCTAGGAATGAATGGAGCACCTACAGACTTTCATTGTTTGAATGCCAACATTTGGAAGTAAGGAAGAGGTGACCTTGTAGCCCTATAGAATTCAGTTTGAAAGCAGAGTGCATGCCACAAGAATAGTAATCAGATGTAGTAGTTCAGTGTATGTTTACCATATAAAATACAGCAAAAAGAAGGAACATAAGTTTTGTCATCCAGAGATATCAAAGGCAGACAAGTTGTCAACTAAGAGCCACATTGTAATAAAAACTGTTCAGTTCTTTGCATTGGTAGGTTAGAAAAGAAAATTTCTTTTCAACTCCCCTTCCCCCCAGAAATGGGGAGGAATTGACATGTTAGCAGTAGAGCAAAGTGGAGCACATTCCTTGTATGCAAAAGCCTCCATGGTCAGTCTCTGGAATCTTCCAGTAGGGCAAGGACAAAATCCTGCCTGAAACCCTGAAATGCTGGTGCCAGTCAGTGTCCTGCATTGAGTGGACCAGGAATCGGATGTAGTTCAGTAGGACCCAGTATCCACAGGGGATCACTTCCGCCAGAGGGTGCCCTTGTATGTTGTATATAGAGCTGTGGGAAATTGTGGATAATTGAAACAGTGGATACCGATCCTGCAGATATGGGGGTCCTACTGTATTAGGGAACTTTTATTGTGCCTGTTAGAGCAGTACTTTAGAGGATCATGATATTTTAAAACATTGATTGGACATAAAATGTGACAAAACAAGCATTAAGGCACATGAATAAATACCATGGGATTGTAGAACACACAAGGTGCAGAAAGCTAGTATACTTAGGTCATATACTGAAGACTCAAAAGTACAGATTGTTACAGGTGATACAATAAAATGCAGCTAATAAATGATTGATACAGCAGATAAATGGGAAGAACAGAATCTTGGAGAATGGTTTTAATGCAACACAATGGCTGGATATTTGCTACATTGCTATGCAAAAGCTGTAACTTTAGAATAGAATTTTAAGTTAAGAAGAAATTTGGTCATGTAACTTGGTATGTAACAAATAACTTCTGCCGAGATTTCTTACAACAGTTTGCTTCCTTTTTTGTAGCAGCCCAACAAGATTTCAGCCAGTGTCATGGCTGAGAGTTGCCTCATCCAAAGCCTAATTTGAAATTATTATGTCCAACTTTGGTGCGAGTGGAACAGGGATATGATTTTTATAAATGCTTTTTGATCTCAAAAGAATCCATCCATCCATATTCAATTCCACAAAATAAAGCAGATTCGACACACTCCAGTCATTTACAGTGGGGTCTCTACTTAAGAACTTAATCCTTATTGGAAGGTGGTTCTCAAGTGGAAAAGTTCTTATGTAGAATCTGCATTTCCCATAGGAATGCATTGAAAACCATTTAATCTGTATCTGCTCTTTTTCGTCCATAGAAACTAATGGGAAGCTGCTATTCCGCCTTCTACCACTAGAGGGGGATATTTTTTTCTTTTTCTTTTTCCCCTTAGGTCAGGGAACAGTGTTCACAGCACTTCTGACGAAGCTAATTTTGAAGCAATGGACTGAAAACCAATTAATCTGTTCTGGCTGTTTTTTCGTTATGTAGAGGTGCGTTCGTACATTGAAGCATTAGTTCCCATAGGAACTAATGCAAAGCTGGTTAATACGTGCTCTACGACTAGGGGGAGAACTTTTTTTAACCTAAGATGACCTAAGGTTAAAAAAAGAGCAGGAAAGGTTTTTTTTCCTGTTCTTATCTTGGATTTCTGTTCTCAAGTAGAAGCAAAATTTAGCAAATGGAGCTGTTCTTAAGTGGAATTGTTCTTAAGTAGGGACGTTCTTAAGTAGAGACCCCACTGTATTTACTTCGGAAGTTCCTTCTATTACATGGTGATAGAACATGCTTCAAAAAC